GCAGGGAAGGGAGGAGACTGGGTTAGGGGTGGGCATGGTAAATGGGAAGTGAAACTAAATGTACACGTAATGTTGAATGTGAAACAAACTCTTACAATAATAATTAAAAAAAAGGGCACATGGAGGAAAGGTATGAAGAGCTTTTTATGGTTGAGGATGGTAATCAGGGCCCTGAAATCAAATGTGCATGAACTTTTGAATGTACATAAAATTTGCTTTGCAAATTTGCACCCAAAACACAACAGAAAAATAAATAAAAGAATCACCTAAAATAATAATAATAATAAAAGTAATATACTCTCTTCAGGCAAAACAAGGGGAACCATGGTTTACAATGAAGAAGAGTGTGTCAGGGTTGTGTTCTTTCACCATACTTATTCAATCTTTATGCTGAGCAAACAATCTCAGAAGCCTCAGAAGCTGGACTATATGAAGAAGAACACAGCATCAGGATTAGAGGAAGACTCATTAACAACCTGCAATATGCAGATGAAATAACATTGCTTGCTGAAAGCGAAGAGGACTTGAAGCACATACTGATGAAGATAAAATATTACAGTCTTCAGTATGGATTACACTTCAATGTAAAAAAAAAAAAAAATCTTCACACCTGGACCAATCAGCAACATCATGATAAATGGAGAAAACACTGAAGTTGTCAGGGATTTCATTTCACTTGAATCCAGAATGAACACTCATGGAAACAGTAGTCAAGAAATCAGATATCCCACTGCACTAGGTACTGTAAAAGACCTCTTTAAAATGTTAAGAAGCCAGGAGATCACTGTGAAGACTAAGGTGCACCTGATCTAAGTCATGGTATTTTCAGTCACCTCATATACATATAAAAGCTGAACAATGGATAAGGAAGACCAAAGAATTGATGCCTTTGAAGTGTGGTGTTGGGAAGAATACTGGAAATAACATGGACTGGCAGAAAAATGAACAAATCTTTTCTGGAAGAAATGCAGCCAGAATGCTCCTTAGAAGCAAGAATAGCCAGACTTTGTCTCTCCTACTTTGGTATGCTGTCAGAAGGAACGATTCCCTGGAGAAGGATATCATGGTTGTTAAAGAAGAGGGTCAGCAAAAAAGACGAGGACACTCAATGACATGGATTGACACAGTGGCTGCAAAGATGTGCTCAAACATATAATGTGAGGATTCTGGTGGACCCTAAGGAGATCAACTGCTATAGGGGAAAGTGCTTTCGTGTGCATCTGAGTCTATAGGAACAATTGCTAGCCTGGATTTACCATGAACTAGTTTGTATGACTTTGTGTAAATAATCTGGCTTGTATGGAGCACAGAATGAAATCCCTGGACTAGATGTCTTTTGTAAACTAAGAATTTTCTGGCAGTAAAAATTAATGTCTTTCTCCAACCATGGTGGTTAAAATTGTTTTGTTTGCTTTTTATTTATTTTTCTTTATTTATTTTTTTGCTTTTCTGCCTCACATTCCATTCCCTTCCAAAAAGTGAGAAAAATGGTTTATTCAGTTTTATGTTGCATTGTTGAGTTTTAGAATTAAGCTCACAGAGAACCTATGTGACCAGTGTGTATGTGGGGAAAGGTCTTACTCAGGATACCTTTACCCTTGTCTCCCTACATCTATTGCTCAAACAGAAAAAGGTATGGGAAGAGAGAGGAGGAAAGATGGCATTTTTTCTTTTAAATATATGTTAAACCCGTACAAACACTTGAAAAAAATCAGGCCTTCATGTCTAACATTAAAATGTATGCCATGTAAAAGGCAACCTGGAACTGCAATTTGGTGATCCTGCTTCTGAAAGGGGAGCTCCGGTGCCATAATGCCTAAGGCATTTGACTGCTAACCAGAAGGCTGGTGGTTCAAACCCACAAGGCACCCCTCGGAAGGAAGGTTGTGCAATCTGCTTCTGTAGTGATACCACCCATTGAAAAGACAACCTCACTAACTGGCTATAGCACTTACAACGATTAAAAACACTTTTGGATAACAACACTTTAAAATTACATATTGTGCTTTATTTGGATTCCTGAAAGTTGAGTTGAACATAGTTGAGTTCAATACAGTGATGATGTTCAGATTCTTTGGGGGGGGGAAAAAAGCCCCTTGATGTTATTTTAAAGTCTTTTTGTACATGACAATGGAAGTAGGTTATCTTTCAGGCAATTTTTCTGGTGACATTAAAAGCACCTTTGCTCCTAGTCAAGTTGGGGAAAACAATAGCTTGTTTTCCTACGAACAATTGCAAGCACATCAGCAGAGTAAATTTGGAAACAGATCTTGTAATTTACCCTCAAATTTTAGCAGGTGCATGGGACAAGGGATTATAATACTAATTGGGGAAAAACTACGTGTAAATACGTTATGTTGTTGCCACAGAGACTGCATATCCTTAATAAGGCCTCCATCTACCCAGGGTCCACCTTTTGCAGCAGCAGATAAGAGTGCCCTGGAAGAGGGAGCCTCCATGCTACTCAGCTGAGGCAGCTGCTGAGCTCTCACTTTTGGTGCTGCCATTTCCGTTGGGTTGAGCGCGGATCTCAGCCAAACCTTTCTCAATTTTGTCCGCTTCTCCTTCGCAATTTTGGGCCTTGGGACATGGCGCTGCCTGGAGGCAGCATTGATTTTTGGGGAAGCAGGATTTGTAGTGTGGAGGGTGGCTTTGTTGCAGGTCACCTACTTCACTTTTTTTCTTCATGCCCTCCGCCTCAGTCTTCTTGGTGACATCAGGTGAAGGTCCTGGCCCCAGAGTGGTGCGTCGACCCCTTGGGCGACTCTTCAAGTAGCTGGGGGCGCGTCCCAGCCTTTGCCCGCCTTGGAGCCCTGTGACCGGATCAGGCAAGTTGGACGCCAGCTGGCCGCTGGTGGGTGGAACAGGAAGCTCTTGCCGGGCCACCCCTGGTGTCTCACAGGTTGGCGGGAAGCGCTGGAGGCTTTGGTCTTTGGCGTGGTCTGGCAGCTGGCCCTGAGTCGCTGTGAAGCCCTCGCTTCTGTCTTCACCACCATCATTGACTTTCTTGGCCACCTTCTGCTCCTCCGCTCCACTTGGGCCGCGCGCAGAGGCCGGACTGCGAATAGAGCAGCCCTGGCGGAAGCGGGGATTGTTGTCGGCTGCAGCGTTGTCCTTGTCCACCTTCTGGTCCTCGCCGCCTGGGAGGCCTAGCAGAGGTTCCCCGCGACTGATGGAGAAGCTCTGGAGGGAGCGGAGGCTGTTGTCTTCTCTCTCGACTGATTCTTTGTCCTCGGCTCCCTTGGGGCCGCGCGGGGGCGCTTGGCGCTGTTTGTAGAAGCCCCCGCGGCCGCGAGGGCGGTTGGTGGCATATAGGCTGCCCTCCACCGGGACTCCCGCAGGGCCGGTCACGTTGGCCGCCTGGGTGCCCCGCTTGCCCTGCACCACGTCGAACTCGACCGTCTCGCCATCGCCCACGCTGCGTTCGTACTTGTGAGGGTTGTTCCGGGTGATGGCTGTCTGGTGAACGAACACGTCTTCCTGCACATCGTGCCTGGTGATGAAACCATATCCATGCTTCACGTTAAACCATTTGACGGTGCCTCGCACTCTCTTGGCGATGAACTTCTTGGATGCCTTTCCCGTGAGACCCGCGTCTTTGGTAGCTTTGGAGATCTCAGCCCAGCTGAGGTTATGGTCCAGGACGTCCCAGGGAGGGGCTCCATCATCCAAGGACCCCAAGTGCTTTGGTGATGTTTGGATGGAAGCTGAGGAGGTCACCTCAGTGGAGGTGGCTTCTTCTGTCTCACTCATGAGGCTCTTCTTGCAGTCTTTTCACATAGAATCTGAGGGAAATCGGCCCTGGGAGGTTTTGTGTTTATGAGGGTGGGTTTGGGGGGTGGTCTGAAGGCGGAGTCTCAGTAAGGTTAATGCGATGAGATTCTCCGAGTGGTCATTGTGGTCTCCCAGGGCAACAGGACGCAAACCAAACAATGGAGGACTGGTGATAGTGACGTCCCAATGGAATCCTAGAGGGGGCTTGAGCTGGGGGCGGGGCAAGGGGTGGTGGGCTTCCCCTCCAGGCTTCACTTCACAGGGTCCACTTCACTGTATTAGTTCCTCCTGGAGTGGAGACACAGTTGGTCTCTAGGGAGTGTTCTTGAGTGGTGTCTTGCTTGAGTTCGTTTGAAGAGGAGAATCACCTTCCGTCCCTCTCCCCTGAGTGGGGTCCACTCACATTCTTCCAAGGACAGTCTCTAAATACCCTATCACAAAATACTTGTCCTCTTTAAGTTCAGTGTGTGCCTTCCATGTGAATGAGGCCTTTTCTGTAATTAGAATAGAGACAAAATTAAAAGCTCATGGAATTATGACCCAAACAGAGGTGCTTACTGTTTCCTTCAGAGGAACAGAGGAATATTGCCAGGACTAGAATGCTAATACTTAAACATTAAACACTTAGACATTAAAGATTTAGACACTAAGTTTGTACAGGTTTATCAGACTAGAGTTTGGATTCTTACTGTAGTGAAGCTGAATGGGAACACGTGGTAAAGAGAATATTACAAAAACCCTATTGAGCTCTGTGTTCTTGCATGCATAACTCAAATATTAAGGCAGAGTAAAATAGAGCTAAGGGAATTTGCCCTTATGATAAACTGCAGATCCAAACGTTTTATTTCAAATAGGTTATAGCTCTATGATCTTCATTATAGATTTAGGGTCCACTTTAACTTTATAGAAACCCTAAGAACTCGTACCTAACTACAATGCTGATACTCTGCACAGCTTGCCCTATCTTAAGTAATGATACAACACATTAACATACTAGATTTTTCACTGGTCAGAAAAGTCTGTTTTTATTAATGAATACCAAAAAAAAAAAACCAAAAACTCACTGCCATCAAGTCAATTCCAATTCATAGTGACTCCCAATTGGGTTTCTCAGGCTATAAATCTTTATGGAAGTAGATCACCCCATCTTCTTTCCACAAAGCAGCTGGTGAGTTTGAACCACTGACCTTCTGGTTAGCAGCCAAGTGCCTTATCCACTACGCCACCAGAACTCCTTTTATTTATGAATAAAAAAAATAAATATAAGCAGAGTTGACTTAGCACTTTCAAGTCGACAGAAACCTTTCATGTGTGCTCTGGTCCTTCCAACAACCCTCTCTGTAAAAGAGGTGAGGCAAGTGCTATTTTCACTTCAGTTTGGCATGGGAGGGAACTGGGGCCCAGAGACTCGAAATTGCTTGTTCTAAAGTCACATATTTAATTGGGATGAACTCCAAAATCTGATCCCATATAGATTTCACTGCAGATGCAGGTCTCTTTCCATGAATGGCCTTCTTGTACCATCTTGTCTATTGTTTCATCACTACCCCGTACACCACGATAGAGAAACCAACAAAACACTCTCACAGCTGATCTGTCTTCCCTATATCAAGACCTTTTCAATGGACAAAAGTCACTTTTATGTCAACGAATCAACATCCCTAGGCAGTAACCATCTGAAAACACACCCTGCTGTGCCAAAAAAAAAAAAAGAAAGTGAGCTCTGGTGGTGTATTGCCTAAGGAAACTGACTGCTAGCCAGAACGCTGGCAGTTCAAACCCACCAGCCACTCCCCAGAATTGTTTCACTTACTTGTGCTGTACACAATGAGAGAACCAAACCAAAACCAAACTCACTGCCGTCGAGTTGAACCTGACTCATAGAGACCCCTCCTTGGGTTTCCCAGGCGGTATCACTAAGGAAGTAGATTGCCCAACCTTTCTTCTGAATATTGGCTGGTGGGTTTGAACCTCCAACATTCTGGTTAGCAGTCAAATGCCTTAGGCAAAATGGGAGAAGGAGTTTTGATTTTTATTTTACTGTTTAAAACACTTGTTTTTTTCCAAACACAAATGTGAGAAAGCATCAAGCAACTATTGGAATTCTCATGTGAGAGCAAGTAAGCCAGGCCTCAAAGCAGCTAAGTAATGTAAACAAGGTCACCTACTTTGTAAGTTCAGAGCCAGGACCATTCCTTAGGCTTTCTGGTCATCTGGTCATGTCCAGATAGCTCTCCGAGTTGCTTCCCACATATGTCATCCATTTTGGTCTTCTCTTTCTTTCTCGTCTTTTTAGTGATCTCTTGTTTCTTCATGGATAATGTTCTTGATATCCTCCCACAATTC